TTTCAACTCAAATAAGATTGAGAAGGCGAATAAGAACATTAGACCGGGGGAAACTGCCCAAACTAGGCAGTCCCGTTTACACCCAACCTCTATCGCTCATATATCCGTCCAACCAATATTTGAAATTACCCAGCGTATTCGAGTTAATGATGATGTTTGGTAACTTGTTCCAGTCATCCACTACTCTATTTCCAAACCAGAATTTACCTATCTTACGCCTTATAATAAATTTATCGAATTTAAAACCATTGCTACAAGTTCGCTCCTGGCTGGATAATTTAAGTACATTTGTTATACCACCTTTGCTTAACCCTGCCTTCCTTTTATACACCTCGACCATATCGCCTCTCACTCTATGTCTCCAGAGGGAGTGCAAATTAAGATGCTTTAATCTGTTTCTTTACTCAATGTTCCTAATGCCCGAGATTATTCTTGTCACCCTCCTCTGTATGCCTCCTGGGGATTCGATATCCATTCTGTAGTACGGTAACCAGAATTGAACTGCATAATCCAATCAAGGAAGTTTAAATACTGTTGTCAAATCGTCATACAAGACTGATGTATATAGAACAGTTTTGTCTTTGATGGAGAATTACAGTAATAAACATTGATGACGGCTGTGATAATGTGGTCCAGTCGCCTTACAAAGTTAAGAATCATCAAGACAACCTCAGTGTCAAAGTTTACTGTAGACAAAGTTAGAGGCATCAAGAAGACAGCCCTCAGTGTCAAAGCTTACTGCCAACAAAGTTACCCTGAGTCTTATAATACCTAAAACATGTTTCATGAGAGTAATCTACCTTTGTGGCTTACCTCCTTCATATACTTAATGGCGGATCTTATCTGGTTGAACTCGGATACTCTCTTTCTTACTTTCCTTCATTTTTACCTTTAATTTCCTTGTTCTAAACCAATCCCTCCCCCACCCAATACCACCCTAGTGTTTCCAATCCAAATCCCTGCCCTACTATCCGTTTACACTAATAATAGTTCCTCTTCCTGAGCTACAGATGGATCCAAATATTCCCATTGTGAAAATAGACCTGGCAGTAATTACAGATCACCTGGGAATTATACACCCAGCTTATTTCACCAAATAATTAAACATCCTAACCTAACCTAACCTATAGTAACCTAAACTAATCTAACTTAATAATCTCCTAACCTAACCTAATCTAATCTAACCTAAGCTAACTTAACTTATTCTGAATTAACTTATCCTAACTTAACCAAATCTAAATTAACATATCCCAACCTAATTTAACTCTAACCCAACATCACCTAGTGCTAACTAACCTAACCTAACCAAATATAATCTATTATATACCCCAGGTAGTGTTAGGGTATTTACAGTAATCATCAGGTGAAATAACCTGGGTTGTTTAATAATCATCTGTAATTCCTACTGTTAATCACCCAAGAGAACCATATAAACGCGGTAACGATTGAGGCATCATTTGTGGCGCTTCTGCGTAATTTACCCCCAAATGCCACAGTGAGTTGACCTTATGGCGCCACATTGTTTGACTGCCAGAGATTGATAGAGCAGATTGTTATCGCCTCGCTTGATAAAATAGAAGGTAGTGGAATGTTTACCTGCTATATTTCGTACTAAGGTGTTAAGGTAACTGCGTCATTTTGTAACCGCATCAATCCATACGTTAGATGCATCTTATCGACAGCTTATAGACGTTACAAAGACATACGAAGAACATTTACCTAAGGCCTATTGGTCCATACGAAGCAACTTCTGTTTACACTCAATCATTTCCTAAATCTTTTCTGAATCGTTTTCGTTAAGTTTATCAAGAGTCATATGGCTGTATATTCTGTTGTTAGTCGCACAGAAGCCTGAGAGTGACAGGCGCACATCAAGGCAGACACACCCATTCCTTGTCTACCAAACTTTACCCATCAAAATGGAGATATACTGTATACACCATGCCAATACTGCAATCAGTTAGTTCGCCGGAGACAAGAAGCACTGCTGTGTGATGGCTGCCAGAAAGTGCAGTACAGATATATCAAGACCTACAGGCAACGTTGCTAAATTCAAGAAAAATGACTGAAGATGTAAACCACTGCCAGCAGCACCGCTCTACACTACAGTACCTGACCATCAACAGTAACCATCGCCGTCATCACCCCGGTAGTGCCCGTGGTGCTCTACTGTGCCATATCACCATACCAACTATACCAGTGGAAGTAGACGGAAACAACACCAATACACACGATCAAATAAATGTTTGTCATACAGTGTCAATATACACTTCTACCGGAGACAGTTGCACGAATTAGTGACTCATGGCTGTTCTTTTTAATGAGCCTTTAAGGCATCTGGAGAGAATACCAAGAAACTGGCTAACGTACTGCCCACTAACAGTTTGCTAAGGTGTATATCCGCACTGGCATTCTTGTCACATGGTGCTAAAGCTGACCGTGTGAAACTGCAGCAGCTTATGACACGCATTTTCGACACATGGATTAACATCACTACTTGATCTCTTAGCCACTGGAGCGTTTATCGTCGCTGTGAGAACCAACGACAGGCCTGGCACTTGACATTATTAGGGACCTGCCACGCTTTGCCATAAACAGATGAATTGTACCGGGAATTTTTCCCCCCACACACTCATCATTCTGTCGCTTTATGTAACTTGCTGGCAAAACCTATGGTCCTTCAGGCTTTTACGCCCTTAATGCACGAGTGCGGGGCAAATTATTAAAAAAAAAAAATCCAACAACGACGTTGAGGGATGGCACCGCTGACTCCGTTCAAGAAAAGGAAAACCAAACTACCATTCTACATTTGTATCAACATGTTGCAGGACCAGTCTAACCTCCTCGAAATACACCTCCGTCTACTCATTGAAGAAAAATGCAGATTCCAACGAAAAAGCTATCTCAAAATGCAAGGGAAAATTTTTACCATCTAGGATGATGAATCTGGCAAAGAAACATCACAGTTGGCTGTATCAGTAAAATGACTGTGGACTGTGTTTTTATTTGGTTATAAACAGTGGGACAGACAGTGAAGCGATACAATAAATGATACAATGAAGGAATCAAATTTTCGTTAACATTGGCTGCACAGTTAACTGAATAAAAGGTATAGTATTTAAGAGAGTGGTAACGTTAGGTTGTTCTTTAGTGAATATTATCTATCTATCATGAGTGCAGTCGCGGAAAAAATCCTCTCGTTCCTCTGAACTGAGACTCATGAACTTATGAATCCGAGACATCACATATTGTTGGGTCCAAAGATGGTGCACTCAGTGATGTCTCGGATTCAAAGACTCCTGAGTCTCAGGGCTCACGGATTGAACAGAGGACTGACAGGCCGTTTTTCCGTGACTGTACTGTACATCTTAGTGCTGCCCACAGTAACCATCTAACGTTTGCTTCGTGTGCCATATGTTTTAGTAGTAATTTCAGTGTTATTGTAAAACGGAACGAAACAACTATAGGGGACAAAATATATTATTATGAAATGGCGCTGATACGAAAGACCTCTAAAGGGTAAAACAACAGTATTATCAGTGTTAAGTGTTTTGTAGGGACAGCTATTATATCATGTTTTAAGGAAAGTGTCTTAAGTTATTTGTTTTAGTTGCTGTTGTTGCTTTTAGGTGGTGTTGGTGAGGTTGTTAGTGTGTTTATGCGAAGTTGTGACAACACCTGTGTGTCAGCAGTAGCAGGGCCAGGGTGTAGCGACAACAACACCTACCTGCTGGTGTGGTGGTGTGTGTCAGCAGTAGCAGGGCCAGGGTGTAGCGACAACAACACCTACCTGCTGGTGTGGTGGTGTGTGTCAGCAGTAGCAGGGCCAGGGTGTAGTGACAACAACACCTACCTGCTGGTGTGGTGGTGTGTGTCAGCAGTAGCAGGGCCAGGGTGTAGTGACAACAACACCTACCTGCTGGTGTGGTGGTGTGTGTCAGCAGTAGCAGGGCTACGACAACAACACCTACCTGCTGGTGTGGTGGTGTGTGTCAGCAGTAGCAGGGCCAGGGTGTAGTGACAACAACACCTACCTGCTGGTGTGGTGGTGTGTGTCAGCAGTAGCAGGACCAGGGTGTAGCGACAACACCACCTACCTGCTGGTGTGGTGGTGTGTGTCAGCAGTAGCAGGGCCAGGGTGTAGCGACAACACCACCTACCTGCTGGTGTGGTGGTGTGTGTCAGCAGTAGCAGGGCCAGGGTGTAGCGACAACACCACCTACCTGCTGGTGTGGTGGTGTGTGTCAGCAGTAGCAGGACCAGGGTGTAGCGACAACAACACCTACCTGCTGGTGTGGTGGTGTGTGTCAGCAGTAGCAGGGCCAGGGTGAAGACAACACCACCCACCTGCTGGTGTGGTGGTGTGTGTGTCAGCAGTAGCAGGGCAACAACACCTACCTGCTGGGTGTGTGGTGTGTGTCAGCAGCAACCCAACACACACTGCTGGTGTGGTGGTGTGTGTGTCAGGGTTTATTGCCAGCAGGGCCAGGGTGTACCTACCTGCTGGTGTGGTGGTGTGTGTCAGCAGTAGCAGGGCCGGGTGTAGACAACACCACCTACCTGCTGGTGTGTGTGGTGGTGTGTCAGCAGTAGCAGGGCCAGGTGTAGTACAACAACACCTACCTGCTGGTGTGGTGGTGTGTGTCAGCAGTAGCAGGGCCAGGGTGTAGGACAACAACACCTACCTGCTGGGTGTGGCGGTGTGTGTCAGCAGTAGCAGGGCCAGGGTGTAGCGACAACAACACCTACCTGCTGGTGTGTGGTGTGTGTCAGCAGTAGCAGGGACAGGGTGTAGCGACAACAACACCTACCTGCTGGTGTGGTGGTGTGTGTCAGCAGTAGCAGGGCCAAGGTGTAGACACAACAACACCTACCTGCTGGTGTGGTGGTGTGTGTCAGCAGTAGCAGGGCCAAGGTGTAGACACAACAACACCTACCTGCTGGTGTGGTGGTGTGTATCAGCAGGACCAGGAACAGGGTGTAGACACAACAACACCTACCTGCTGGTGTGGTGGTGTGTGTCAGCAGTAGCAGCAGGACCAGGGTGAAGGTGTAGCAGGAGTGGGGGCCGGCTTCACTGTCGTCCATCATCTGCAGCACAATAAAAGACACATTAATGTACTGACACCGTAGTCAAGCGGCCAGCGTCTGAGGTATAATGTAGTTTTAACAATATATGTGTTTGCCTTTTAACATGTATACTCGTAATGTATACTCATAGTATTAACCGTACATGAGTGTATTATTATAAACTTAAACATTATTGAAGAAGCGACAATTAATTCGATTAATCAAAATGTTACTAAAGTAATATTAATTAAGTGGTAGTTCAGGCAAGGATTACGAAAAAAAAAAATCATCGGTAGTGTAGTTTTCGGAATGTTTAATAATTAATTGATGTTATTTGTCAGTTTTTTCTTTAGATATGACCGTCAATGTACACTGTATACCTACACCGTCAATGTACACTGTATACCTGCACCGTCAATGTACAATTGCTCTGTTTGTTGAATCAATGTTAATATGCATGACGATTCCTCTTATTAAATATCAAGCTATTTTCCCCGCACAGTCAGCTAGATATCAGCTATCACCAGCTCCATCACCGGGGTATAACGCTGTTGGCAATTATCATAACCTGGACGGACACAACACAAAACATCATAAAGAATAATAGCAGTATCCCGGTAGTGTTCAATAACCAAGGTTGGGTGTGAATATTCTAAGAGTGCAGCGTGACTTCAGCTATGGTTTACCGATGAGAAATATGACGAGAGTGGTGTCATGACGTCTTGGAAAATCATGACGTCAGAGCGGAATTATGACGTCAGAGCAGAATTATAACGTCAGGGCAGAATCATGACGTCAGAGCTAGATCATGACGTAAGAGCAGAATTATGACGTCAGGGCAGAATCATGACGTCAGAGCAGAATCATGACGTCAGAGCAGAATCATGATGTCAGAGCAAAGCCATGACGTCAAGTGGAAACCATAACTCAGTAGAGCCGTGACGTCAAGCGAGTGTTGCCATCACTTCGTCAACAGTGAATATATTGAACTTTTAACACTATGTCATAGATGAATTGTTCACTAACAAAAGAAAATAGGAAAATTTGAACATCGTTTATAATTTATTTGGATCACTTGAAGAATAACCACCCTAGAGTTATTTAAACCTATCCTAACCTAATCTACCGTAACCTAACCCTAACCTAAGCCAAACTAACCTCTCTCAAACCAAACCAATCCAAACCTAACCTAACCTGACCTGACCTGACCTGACCTGACCAGACCTGACCTGACCTCTTTAGGGCAGTTAATCATGCGGTTAATTAATCTGGGGTGTCTAATCCTTAGGTGATCCACTTATTCTATTAGAAATTGTCAACAAGTGAAATATAACCTAAGCTGTTGCGTCGCCAGGGATGTAATTACCTCACCAATCAATCAATCAATCAATCAATCACAATCAATCAATCAATCACAATCAATCAATCACAATCAATCAATCACAATCAATCAATCACAATCAATCAGTCACAATCAGTCAATTCACTGTAGTATATAATAGTTCGTAGTGGTTTCCTCATTCTCTGGTCTGGTGAAGGACGAGACGAAGAATATAGAACTTATTTTATATTACCACTTTGACTTAAACTGTAATATATTATTTGTTTGTTTGCCTCACGTTAATTGTTTGTATTTAATTGGAAAACAACAAAACAATTCGCTCCGTTTTCAAGTTCTTAAAAAATTTTCTCATTCTTCTTCTGTTTCTTCTCTTATTTCTGTTTTTTTTTAATATATCACCATTCTGTTCAGGTCGTAATTACTGTACTGTAGTAACTTTGTATAGCCAATGACCAAGAAGTTATGCCGAGGGTGTTTACAAAATTGATTGTGATTGGTCGATATGCGTTATGTAGCGCCATTTCTTCACCAGTCAACGTGCTCGTTACATTTTCACCCACGATCCAATATGGCCGCCCGAACACATACAAAAGGGGAGCTAAGGTACTTTACAATTTTTTTTTTTTTACGGGAATTAGTCCACCCGGGTACAGGTCAAACGGCCCACAACGGAGCCTGGGAGACGAGAAAAAAAAAAGAACGGAAAGAAATTGTAAATATAGAGAAAAAAAAGGTTATACTGTATTAATCTACACCACGAAGATGCCGTATTGGTGTATTGTAACTGTGGCGGATACATTTCTTTATATCGAAACATTTCGTGTTGGTTTGTAACGTCAAGACATAATACATAATTAATTTAAAACACACATGGCAAGTTTTGAAACGAGCATGGGTCTGTTGTCGATAAAACTAAAACACACAAAAAAGGGGGACAATTTGTTGTTAATGTGGCCACGAGAAGTCTTGACTGTATGCATGATGTAAATATTAAAAATTTATGGCAAATCTATATCAACGTTCTTTAGGTACAGTAGAGCCCAGGTACGAGGAGTTTAATAATAATAATAATAGGTCAGATTAACTTATTGTACGTTAGGTTAGGTTACGGGAAGTTAGAGTTAGTTACAGTGACAGAATTAGGACCCCACATTTTTTTCAGGCACCCAACTTAAAATGTAGAAAGGAAAATAAGAAAATATAAAAAGCTATATATTTAGGTATATTTTTATTATGTCACTGGTTGGCTGTTAGTTTTTCTGTCTGAACTGCATAGGGCTCCCACAAGCCTAAATCCGACGCTGGTTGGTTAAGTTAAACCAGATTGAATTTGGATTGTAACGTCTAATTACCCATTGTAATCACTGATGAATGGTCCTGGGTTTAGAATGGTCCTGGGGTTAGAATGGTCCTGGGATTAGAATGTTCCTGGGGTTAGAATGGTATAGGGGTTAGAATGGTCCAGGGGTTAGAATGGTCCAGGGGTTAGAATGGTCCTGGGGTTAGAATGGTCCAGGAGTTAGAATGGTCCAGGGGTTAGAATGGTCCAGGGGTTAGAATGGTCCAGGAGTTAGAATGGTCCAGGGGTTAGAATGGTCCAGGGGTTAGACTGGTCCAGGGGTTAGAATGGTCCAGGGGTTAGACTGGTCCAGGGGTTAGACTGGTCCAGGGGTTAGAATGGTCCTGGGGTTAGAATGGTCCAGGGGTTAGACTGGTCCAGGGGTTAGAAGGGGTTAGAATGGTCCAGGGTTAGAATGGTCCAGGGGTTAGACTGGTCAGGGGTTAGAATGGTCCAGGGGTTAGAATGGTCCAGGGTTAGACTGGTCCAGGGGTTAGAATGGTCCAGGGGGTTAGAATGGTCCAGGGGTTAGACTGGTCCAGGGGTTAGGGTTAGAATGGTCCAGGGGTTAGAATGGTCCAGGGTCCAGGGTTAGAATGGTCCCAGGGGTTAGAATGGTCCAGGGTTAGACTTAGACTGTCCAGGGGTTAGAATGGTCCAGGGGTTAGAATGGTCCAGGGCGGTCAGGGGTTAGAATGGTCCAGGGTTAGAATGGTCCAGGGTTTAGACTGGTCCAGGGGTTAGAATGGTCCAGGGGTTAGAGTGGTCCAGGGGTTAGAATGGTCCAGGGGTGGTCCAGGGTTAGATGGTCCAGGGTTAGAATGGTCCTGGGATTAGGGGGGGTTAGAATGGTCCAGGGGTTAGAATGGTCCTGGGATTAGAATGGTCCTGGGGTTTCCAGGGGTCCAGGGGTTAGGAATGGTCCAGGGGTTAGAATGGTCCTGGGATTAGAATGGTCCAGGGGTTAGAATGGTCCAGGGGTTAGGAATGGTCCTGGGATTAGAATGGTCCAGGGGTTAGAATGGTCCAGGGGTTAGAATGGTCCTGGGGTTAGAATGGTCCTGGGGTTAGAATGGTCCTGGGGTTAGAATGGTTCTGGGGTTAGAATGGTCCAGGGGTTAGAATGGTCCTGGGGTTAGAATGGTCCAGGGGTTAGAATGGTCCTGGGGTTAGAATGGTCCTGGGATTAGAATGGTCAGGGGTTAGAATGGTCCTGGGGTTAGAATGGTCCTGGGGTTAGAATGGTCCAGGGTTAGAATGGTCCTGGGGTTAGAATGGTCCAGGGGAATTCCTGGGGTTAGAATGGTCCAGGGGTTAGAAATGGTCCAGGGGTTAGAATGGTCCTGGGTTACCCAGGGTTAGAATGGTCCAGGGGTTAGAATGGTCCTGGGTCCTGGGGTTAGAATGGTCCTGGGATTTAGAATGGTCCAGGGGTTAGAGAATGGTCCAGGGGTTAGAATGGTCCAGGGGTTAGAATGGTCCAGGGGTTAGAATGGTCCAGGGGTTAGAATGGTCCAGGAGTTAGAATGGTCCAGGGGTTAGAATGGTCCAGGGGTTAGAATGATCCTGGGGTTAGAATGGTCCTGGGGTTAGAATGATCCTGGGGTTAGAATGGTCCAGGAGTTACAGTTTTGTTGTTAATATAAAAATACATACAATAAATGTTTTGGGCTAAGTATGCAAACACAAAAACACCAATTGTCTTTTCTCCTTTTATTAAGAAAATATTCTATGCACAGTTAATGTAAGATATCAATGTAACTAACACTATGAGTGTTAGTGTAGCTGAAGCGAGTTATAACGAGCATCGTGAACACACATGTGGTGTGTCTGAGAGACTTGCGATGACTGAAGTAACCAGCGAATAACCTGATGACCCTGCTGGACAGAGGTGCGCCGAGGTCATTTAAAAGATAGTGAGGTTACGTGACATACTGTACATCACTTGCTTCAGTATTAGAAAGTATTTACTAGACAGTATTTACTAGACACTTGCTCATGTTTAATTACCGTAGGAGATGTAATTACATAAACAATGTTTGCAGCCCATATTTATATAACCATTACTGTCTGTTAGACAGGAGCTAATACAGGATACGCTAGGTTAAATCAGGAGGTAAATTATAGTCAGAGTTAAGTTAGGTTAAATTGTATTAGGTCAGGGGAAGTTAGGTTAAGTTATATGTTGGTGTGGTCATGAGTCATCCAGCAGCCAGCCTTGAACTTTAGTGACGGTTCCCTTAAGACTTAAACCTACCTCCCTTCCCCCCACCCCGCCCTATACATGACCTTTACCACACTACCGACTACAATCTGCTCGTAAAGTCTACAGGGGGATCG